TAAAGGGCCTGGAGCATCACAGATTATATATTTTTCTGTATTTACACATCCTATCAGCCACACCGCCTTCAGGGAGTGCATGTCAGGAACATTGTTTCAATGCAGTTAAAGTACTGTGTTTGTAAAAGGAAAAACTCTGCACTGGTCTTGACATTGTCGGGCGTTCATTGACCTAAACGTGGGCGACGTGTGACTCGTGGTTAAAGGTCGAGGAGGGTGACTAGTGGATAAAGGTCGAGGAGGGTGACTAGTAGTTAAAGGTCAAGGAGGGTGACTAGTAGTTAAAGGTCGAGGAGGGTGACTCGTGGTTAAAGATCGAGGAGAGTGACTCGTGGTTAAAGGTCGAGGAGGGTGACTAGTGGTTAAAGGTCGAGTAGGGTGACTAGTGGTTAAAGGTCGAGGAGAGTGACTCGTGGTTAAAGGTCGAGGAGGGTGACTAATGGTTAAAGGTCGAGGAGAGTGACTCGTGGTTAAAGGTCGAGGAGGGTGACTAGTGGTTAAAGGTCGAGCAGGGTGACTAGTGGTTAAAGGTCAAGGAGGGTGACTAGTGGTTAAAGGTCGAGTAGAGTGACTAGTGGTTAAAGATCGAGGAGGGTGACTAGTGGTTAAAGGTCGAGTAGGGTGACTCGTGGTTAAAGGTCGAGGAGGGTGACTAGTGGTTAAAGGTCGAGGAGGGTGACTCGTGGTTAAAGGTCGAGTAGGGTGACTAGTGGTTAAAGGTCAAGGAGGGTGACTAGTGGTTAAAGGTCGAGGAGGGTGACTAGTGGTTAAAGGTCGAGTAGGGTGACTCGTGGTTAAAGAACGAGTAGGGTGACTAGTGGTTAAAGGTCGAGGAGGGTGACTAGTAGTTAAAGATCGAGGACGGTGACTAGTGGTTAAAGGTCGAGTAGGGTGACTCGTGGTTAAAGGTCGAGGAGGGTGACTAGTGGTTAAAGGTCGAGGAGGGTGACTAGTGGTTAAAGGTCGAGGAGGGTGACTCGTGGTTAAAGGTCGAGTAGGGTGACTAGTGGTTAAAGGTCAAGGAGGGTGACTAGTGGTTAAAGGTCGAGCAGGGTGACTAGTGGTTAAAGGTCAAGGAGGGTGACTAGTGGTTAAAGGTCGAGTAGAGTGACTAGTGGTTAAAGATCGAGGAGGGTGACTAGTGGTTAAAGGTCGAGTAGGGTGACTCGTGGTTAAAGGTCGAGGAGGGTGACTAGTGGTTAAAGGTCGAGGAGGGTGACTCGTGGTTAAAGGTCGAGTAGGGTGACTAGTGGTTAAATGTCAAGGAGGGTGACTAGTGGTTAAAGGTCGAGGAGGGTGACTAGTGGTTAAAGGTCGAGTAGGGTGACTCGTGGTTAAAGAACGAGTAGGGTGACTAGTGGTTAAAGGTCGAGGAGGGTGACTAGTAGTTAAAGATCGAGGACGGTGACTAGTGGTTAAAGGTCGAGTAGGGTGACTCGTGGTTAAAGGTCGAGGAGGGTGACTAGTGGTTAAAGGTCGAGGAGGGTGACTAGTGGTTAAAGGTCGAGGAGGGTGACTCGTGGTTAAAGGTCGAGTAGGGTGACTAGTGGTTAAAGGTCAAGGAGGGTGACTAGTGGTTAAAGGTCGAGGAGGGTGACTAGTGGTTAAAGGTCGAGTAGGGTGACTCGTGGTTAAAGAACGAGTAGGGTGACTAGTGGTTAAAGGTCGAGGAGGGTGACTAGTAGTTAAAGATCGAGGACGGTGACTAGTGGTTAAAGGTCGAGTAGGGTGACTAGTGGTTAAAGGTCGAGGAGGGTGACTCGTGGTTAAAGGTCGAGGAGGGTGACTCGTGCTTAAAGGTCGAGTAGAGTGACTAGTGGTTAAAGGTCAAGGAGGGTGACTAGTGGTTAAAGGTCGAGGAGGGTGACTAGTGGTTAAAGGTCGAGGAGGGTGACTCGTGGTTAAAGAACGAGTAGGGTGACTAGTGGTTAAAGGTCGAGGAGGGTGACTAGTGGTTAAAGGTCGAGGAGGGTGACTAGTGGTTAAAGGTCAAGGAGGGTGACTCGTGGTTAAAGGTCAAGGAGGGTGACTAGTGGTTAAAGGTCGAGTAGCCACCCCTGGAGTCCCTGCCTGGCTCGACCAGACGCAACAAGGCTCACATCATGGACCGTGTGCACTGAGGGTGACTGTGGCAGGAGAGTTCATCTCGGTAACCTTTGTCACGGACAACTGATAGCCGGGGGCCTGCATCAGTGCTGTATTCGTTTTATGTTGTACAGCAACTTGCTGAACCCCCCCGGCCCACCACCCCCACTGGACATCTGTGAAAAAAGAGCTTTCTAGCTCATCGGATTCTTGATTCCTCCGGGGATAAAGAGAGCTTCATAGCTCATCTGATTCTTGATTCCTCCGGGGATAAAGAGCTTCATAGCTCATCTGATTCTGGATTCCTCCGGGGATAAAAAGAGCTTCATAGCTCATCTGATTCTTGATTCCTCCGGGGATTAAAACATGTTGAACTGTATTAGAACATGTTGGACTGTATTAGAACATGTTGGACTGTATTAGAACATGTTGGACTGTACTAGAACATGTTGTACTGTACTAGAACATGTTGGACTGTACTAGAACATGTTGGACTGTATTAGAACATGTACTGTACTAGAACATGTTGGACTTATTAGAACATGTTGTACTGTACTAGAACATGTTGGACTATACTAGAACATGCTGTACTGTACTAGAACATGCTGTACTGTATTAGAACATGCTGGACTGTATTAGAACATGTTGGACTGTATTAGAACATGTTGGACTGTATTAGAACATGATGTACTGTATTAGAACATGCTGGACTGTACTAGAACATGTTGGACTGTATTAGAACATGCTGTACTGTATTAGAACATGTTGGACTATTAGAACATGCTGTACTGTATTAGAACATGTTGGACTGTACTAGAACATACTGGACTGTATTAGAACATGCTGTACTGTATTAGAACATGCTGTACTGTACTAGAACATGTTGGACTTGTATTAGAACATGCTGTACTGTGTTAGAACATGCTGTACTGTACCAGAACATGCTGTACTGTATTAGAACATGCTGTACTGTACTAGAACATTCTGGACTGTATCAGAACATGCTGTACTGTATTAGAACATGCTGTACTGTATTAGAACATGTTGGACTGTATTAGAACATGCTGTACTGTATTAGAACATGCTGTACTGTACTAGAACATGTTGGACTGTATTAGAACATGCTGTACTGTATTAGAACATGTTGGACTATTAAACATGTTGGACTGTACTAGAACATGCTGTACTGTATTAGAACATGTTGAACTATTAAAACATGTTGGACTGTACTAGAACATGTTGGACTGTACTAGAACATGCTGTACTGTATTAGAACATGCTGTACTGTACTACAACATGTTGAACTGTATTAGAACATGCTGTACTGTATTAGAACATGTTGGACTGTACTAGAACATGCTGTACTGTACTACATGTTGGACTGTATTAGAACATGCTGTACTGTATTAGAACATGCTGTACTGTATTAGAACATGCTGAACTGTATTAGAACCTGCTGTACTGTATTAGAACATGGTGGACTGTATTAGAACCTGCTGTACTGTATTAGAACATGCTGTACTGTACTAGAACATTCTGGACTGTATTAGAACATGCTGTACTGTATTAGAACATGCTGTACTGTATCAGAACATGCTTTACTGTATTAGAACATGTTGGACTGTATTAGAACATGCTGTACTGTGTTAGAACATGCTGTACTGTATTAGAACATGTTGGACTGTATTAGAACATGTTGTACTGTACTAGAACATGTTATACTGTACTAGAACATGTTGGACTGTACTAGAACATGTTGGACTGTATTAGAACATGTACTGTACTAGAACATGTTGGACTGTACTAGAACATGCTGTACTGTACTAGAACATGATGTACTGTATTAGAACATGCTGGACTGTATTAGAACATGTTGGACTGTATTAGAACATGTTGGACTGTATTAGAACATGATGTACTGTATTAGAACATGCTGGACTGTACTAGAACATGTTGGACTGTATTAGAACATGTTGTACTGTACTAGAACATGTTGTACTGTACTAGAACATGTTGGACTGTACTAGAACATGTTGGACTGTATTAGAACATGTACTGTACTAGAACATGTTGGACTGTACTAGAACATGCTGTACTGTACTAGAACATGATGTACTGTATTAGAACATGCTGGACTGTATTAGAACATGTACTGTATTAGAACATGTTGGACTGTATTAGAACATGTTGGACTGTATTAGAACATGATGTACTGTATTAGAACATGCTGGACTGTACTAGAACATGTTGGACTGTATTAGAACATGCTGTACTGTATTAGAACATGTTGGACTATTAGAACATGCTGTACTGTATTAGAACATGTTGGACTGTACTAGAACATGTTGGACTGTATTAGAACATGCTGGACTGTATTAGAACATGTTGGACTGTACTAGAACATGTTGGACTGTATTAGAACATGCTGTACTGTATTAGAACATGTTGGACTGTACTAGAACATGTTGGACTGTATTAGAACATGCTGTACTGTATTAGAACATGTTGGACTATTAGAACATGCTGTACTGTATTGGAACATGTTGGACTGTACTAGAACATGTTGGACTGTATTATAACATGCTGTACTGTATTAGAACATATTGGACTATTAGAACATGCTGTACTGTATTAGACGACTTCGGCTCGCCCAAGTGGGGGGCCGACACCACCAGCACCACCACCACCGACACCACCACCACCACCATCGACACCACCACCACCGACACCACCAGCACCACCACCACCGACACCACCACCACCACCGACACCACCACCACCGACACCACCACCACCGACACCACCACCATCGACACCACCACCACCGACACCACCACCATCGACACCACCGACACCACCACCACCACCGCGCCGAGGGCCTCTTGGGGCACGGCAGGAACCTCCCGCCGGCTCACCTCGCTTCATGAGGCTGTACTTAGTGACCAGATACGGGCCCCGTATGATGCTCGTGATGAGCTCCTCGTAGAGCTTCAGCCACTCCCGCCTGTTCTTGTCCACCATGTGCGCGTCCACCGTCTGCGCGCCCGCTTCGTCGACCCCCTCCATCGCCTCCGACTCGTCCATCGCCTCTCGGCAGCACGGGAAGAGAACTCACTTCCGTGTGCGCGTCTCTGTGTGTGCGTGTCTCTGTGTGTGTGTCTCTGTGTGTTGTATCTGTGCGTGTGTGTCTGTGTGTGTGTGTTGTATCTGTGTGTGTGTCTGTGTGTGTCTGTGTGTGTTGTATATGTGTCTGTCTGTCTGTGTCTGTGTGTATCTGTGTCTGTGCGTGTGTTTATGTTGTGCGTGTGTCTGTGTGTATCTGTCTGTGCGTGTGTCTGTGTGTATGTGCGTGTGTCTGTATGTGTTTGTATCTGTGTCTGTGCGTGTGTCTGTGCGTGTGTGTCTGTGGGGAGCGGTAGTGTAGCGGTTACCGCTACGCTGCGCTATGAACCCGGCGACCCGAGTTCGATTCCCGCTCACGGCCAACACCAGTGACGATTATCTGAACCGGTCCTGGGCCTCCTCTAGGTCGACTCAGCCTCAAATGAGTACCTGGTGCGGTGTGTAAACATCGCCACTAGGGAGACAAAGGCGGTCGGGCGTGGTGCTGGCCACCCACCCCCTCGTGTACCTTTCCAGCCTTCATAGGTGCTCGCTAACAGCACTTGCCCCTACAGTCTGTTACAGTCTGTTACAGGCTATATGGGGGATCTTTGTTGTTTTTGATCTTTGTGTGTGTGTCTGTGCGTGTGTGTCTGTGCGTGTGTCTGTGTGTGCGTGTGTCTGTGCGTCTGTGCGTGTGTGTCTGTGGGGAGCGACAGTGTAGCGGTTAGCGCGCTGCGCTATGAACCTGTCCACCCGAGTTCGATTCCCGCTCACGGCCAACATCAGTGACGATTATCTGAACCGGTCCCGGGCCTCCCTTAGGTCGACTCAGCCTCAAACGAGTACCTGGTGCGGTGTGTAAACATTGCCACTAGGGAGACAAAGGCGGTCGGGCGTGGTGATGGCCACCCTCCCCCTGGCCTTCATAGGTGCTCGCTGACAGCACTTGCCCCTACAGCCTGTTACAGGCTACACGGGGGATCTTTGTGTGGGGGAGCGGTGCTTGTTGCTTCTGCTGCGGTTTCACAGCAGAGGTCTCACTCCGAATCAGTCGAGCGACAACATTCTCCTGCGGAGGGAGCTGGTAGGAACGTTGGGTTGCTCGGTCAATGGCCAGGGTCAACGGCGGCACCACCACGTGGTGTGTTCCGCACAATATGCCCGACTGTGAGGGCGGGCACAAGCCGGCGTGAGTAGGTTAAACGTTGAGTTTTATAAGGGCACCACGGGGTGACCAGCCCCACCCCTCACCCAGCCCCACCCCTCCCTTCCCTCTCCACCCAGCCCCACCCAGCCCCTCCCCACCCAGCCCCTCGCCACCCAGCCCCTCCCCACCCTCCCCTCCCCACCCAGCCCCACCCCTCCCATGTTTGGATGCACAACGGACGGACACAATAATCCCCTGTGGGCTGGTGTAACCAGGAGGTTCCTTACACAGTATTATCTTCTCATCAGCTACCCAACGCTGTGTGGAAGCTTGCCCGGTCTGTCGCTCTGCTACGAAGCTTCGGGTCTTGTCGGCCACGGTCATGTTCCTCTCAGCTTAAAAGCCGTGATCTGAACGTGGCTCTCTCACTCCAGCGCTGTCCTACCAGACAGTCTCGCTCCCTTCACCTGATGAAGGCCGCTTGTGTTGTGGCCGAAACGTCGTGAGAATATTATTGTGTTATTTTATTTTATCAATTTATTATTTTATTCTCATTCTACGTGACTTTACCGAAAGAACCAAAGAAGATGAATCATTGCAGTCACGAAAGCTTTAAATCGAAATGGCCCTCCCTTCTCTACGCTTGCGAAACGTGGACTCAATCTTCATTTGAAGCTTTCGTGACTGCAGGAATCCATACTCTTTGGTTCTTTCGGTAAAGTCACGTAGATAGAAATGAAATAAAACAAATCACGACGTTTCGGGCGCAACACAAGCGTCCGTCATCAGGTGGGAGCAACCTCCAGCAACAACTGAGGGCAGAAAAGCGACGATCACAACAACGAGCGGAGCTACGTGTGGATAAAATGAAGCAAGTTGGCACGGCAGGGGGCACATTTGGGGCATCTGTCAGTCATCTTGGTCAGCCAACCCATGGCCCCTGGGTCTGTCCCGTGACCCAGGTGCAATGGGTTGCGGGCTACATGACTCAGCCAATGCTGCCTTGGCTGCTGGAAGAACTCACTGATGGAACGGTCTCAAATTCTTTCAGGGATCTGTGAGCTCGCATAATACAGTCTGATTAACCCGTGATGGACCATGAGCAGGCCAACCTGTACGTTTCAACCCAGAGCAGATGTTAGTTTAAAGGGCTCCATGTTTTGCATAGAGAATAGAGGGCATTACTGTGGCCAAGAAGACCCAGAGCTTCTTATGGAGCATTATCCAGCTGATGGAAAGCCAAAATCGCTCAACTGATTCGGAGTGAGATCTCTGTTACCAAACTGCAGCTAGGCTTAAGTACAATACCCATGTATGGAAATTTCTCAACTCTCTCAACAACTGCTGGATCACTCATGGGGAATGGAGGGGGTGGAATATTTGATGTCATAAATGCTGGTACTTTGTTTTTGTGCCGCTGATTGTTAGGCCCCATCTCTTAGTAGCACACTCTAGGTTCAGCAGTAGACTCTCCAACTCCTTAATAATGCGCAGCAATTTCCAGATCACCAGCATGATTAAACAATCGGGAGCCATCCCTTGACCACACCCGGTCATTAATTAGTCTCCCATTGTATCTGTAGCATATGGAAATGCTTCCTGGTCAGCCTTACTTCGCGTCTCGAACTACGTGGCAAAAGAAGATGTTGAATGGTGTAGGGGCCAGAGGACATCCCTGTCGCACACCAAGATGACGTTGAATAATAATTGCCAGGAAATTCTCGGCGCATTGAGGGAGATGCCGTGGTAGATTTATCCAGGCATTCCCATCATAATGAAAGTACTTAATGATTGTGAGCAGAGTCAGGGACCCCAAACGCACGAAAAATAACCCAGAACCGTGGCCTACTGATGTTATCATAAGCCTTGACTAGGTCAACAAAGCAGAGATGTAGGTCATGTTGAACCCACATCACGGCTCCACAAGCCTCTCAGTGTGCCTGGCAAGGCGATGTTAAATAATCATTGCCAATACAATTGCCAGTACACTGAGGGAGATATGGCAGTAGTTGTTGCTATAAGTGGTCTCCTTTTTTAAGTAATATTAAAAAAAACCCTTTTTTTTAAACAAATGTGCTAGTAATGGAAGAACTCCACGACTCCAGGAAGTGGGCCCGAAGCTTGCCACAACGTAAGGGGACCGTGGGCCAATTACAGCCAACGTCAGTTGAGCGTGGACAATTAGACCCAAGCCGAAACATAACATAAAAAAATAATGTATTTTTTTTATGATAGAATTTAGTATTGTCATCAGTATGACATAAGTACACCAAGTTTGCAGTCGATACCACATTGGGAAGTGGGTGAACATTGAGTTACAAGATTTGAGGATACAACAACAACAACGACAACAACAGAGTGAGTTAAAAGAAAGCGTGTAATAATAAAAAAGGAGACCACCAGGGCATCCTTCCAATCTTGCAGATCCCATCCTGTGCACCAGATGGTTGTAATTGTCATATAGGGCAGCCAGCACAGTGTATCAGATTACACGTGCCTTGACTTGGAAATTATTGCATGCTTATATTCTATACATAGCACGAAGTACACAACCACAGGACGACTACTAGCACCACACAGTATACGTATGTAAATCACTTAAGGAATTATTTTCACATAGTTCTGAACTGAATTTTACGCCATTAATTAAAGATGTAATTTTATTCAAATGGAATCTGTAAACATGCATGCATATACATATATTGTGATTCTGACATGATCGCATGTTATTCTCGAAGTTTCTTGATTTTAATGTCACAATGCATTTTTTGTTACACAGAATGTAATCAAAGTTTAAAATATTGAACTTTAAACTTCTCGTCTATCAAACACGAGATTGTTTTTAAATCACACAGAACGTTCAGATATGCACAATGAATACGACTAATATTGTCACAAATTCAAAATGTATTTTTTTTTAAAAAACATACTAAAGGGCAAACATGTTACTTTATCTTCTTTGGTTCTTTCGGTAAAGTCACGCAGAATGAGAATAAAACAATAAAATAAAACAATAAAATTCTCACGACGTTTCGGCCACAACACAAGTGGCCTTCCCCAGGCGAAAGGAGCAAACCCGTCGGGACTACAGAGCTACGACGGGTTTGCTCCTTTCGCCTGGGGAAGGCCACTTGTGTTGTGGCCGAAACGTCGTGAGAATTTTATTGTTTTATTTTATTGTTTTATTCTCATTCTGCGTGACTTTACCGAAAGAACCAAAGAAGATGAATCCTTGCAGTCACGAAAGCTTTAAATCGAAATGTTACTTTATACTTCCATTGCATGACAAACACATCACAGTTCAGAGCTGGATTCGTCGATTCTTGCTCACACACACAAGTCATTCTGCTTGTTGTGATGTATGTACGTATGTTGTTCATGGTGTACTTTCTTTCAAGGATGTACGTATGTTGCTGAACTTAGTTTCGGGCCATCGAATCCAACTGGATAAAAATAATCGGGATGCCATAACTTCACCGCGACCGCCGCCGCCGTCAGTAGAATGGTTCTGTGCCGTTCCAGTCGACGGTTGTGCCGCCCCACCGGGTATGGATGAGCCGCTCCAGGGAGGGCACCGTCCTCTCCGTGCGCCCGTCCTCCTGCCACCGTCCCTGCTCCCACTGGTGCGAGTGCGTGTCTGTCACGTGGGTGGCGAGACGACAGAGCGGTGTGCGGTCAGCGCACCGTGCCGTGAACGCGGTGATCTAAGCTCGTGTCCTGCTCACGGTTAAGATCGGCGGGGAATATCTGGAACCGGTCCTGGGCCTCCCCTAGATCGACTTCAGCTTTAAATGAATATCTGGCGCGGTGTCTGAAACACCGGATACAGTGGAGACGGAGGCGACAGCAATGTGACAACGTGGGTTATATCATGACTCTGCTGAGTGGAATTGTGGCTTCCTGCATGATGTTTAAAAGATATTGCCGATTTTCTAATGATGATGATGATTATGGTAAGCGGAGGAGAAGGCCTTCATCCAGCAGGAGATGGACCATGGATGTTGATGGTGGCAGTGATAATGAGATTATGCGAAATGATATGCATATAACATTTGACTACATCACAATTTAATACATTTTCACACTTCATGGTGTACTTTCTTTCAAGGATTGTGCCCATTTACTAAAGTTCTTCAGCACTGAAAATAATGCAAATTTTTTTTGTTGACAATTTTACACAAAATTGTGAAAACTTTGCTCACTTTTCAACATTCCTCCAGTTTACTGCTAAACCAAGTCAAATCTTCCTATGACGTGACAACTTGATTGGATTGGCTTTGTCGGTGGTGGAGGGCTTTAGTTTAAAATTAACATTGTTCCTACATGGTAATCTAACCCAAAGTAAACTAATTATGAATCTATAGTGAGTGTAATACTGCACGTCAATTTTAATCGATGAGTTAATTGTTACACACTTACTAACCTTATATATGATATGGTAATGACGTGATATAAATGGAGGAGGTGGTGGTACGCAGTATAATCACAATACAATTTGTAACTGTGAAGCATCTAAATGGGACTGCATCTCGAGATGCTGTACACGAAGGGTGACGTGAGATTGTGGGGAAGAGGATACGTTTTGTTTTATTCGTAATTAACGTTTTTGGTTTAGATTGCGTTATTTATAAATGTGTCGTAACCCTCCACTACCTGACACGGCCAATCAGTAAACAAAAAGTGTAACGTTGACAAAAGACAAATAGTTCACTGCTTTAGCCCACCGGTGTGTTGAAGAGTGAATCCACAACATTTACAATTTTTGAGTACGACGTTTCGCTGGTAATTCCATCCAGCATCATCGGGCCAGGAATATAAAGAAGTTGCAGAGATGAGGGAGCAACATACAGTTGACGAGGTGTTTGATTTGGCGCTTTCGTTACTGCAGGAATTACTCTTTGGTTTTTTTTCGGTAAAGTCACGTAGAAAATAAGAAATAATAATAAAATTACATAATAGCATACGACGTTTCGATTGCAACGCAAGCAATCATCATCAGGCATAGAAGAGCTAAATTTAAGAGAGAGAGAGAGAGAAAACACAGAACCGCAGACATATATACAGACACCTAAGTGTAGGGAGTTAACACAGAGACACAAAGAGAGACACAACGTATGAAGACACAGAGAGATAGGGTCTCTGTGTCGAGGCCTTAGCATGTAGGGGAGACAAAGAGAGATGGAGAAGCACATCAAATTTTACTAAATCTTGTTCGATTTGATGTGCTTCTCCATCTCTCTTTGTCTCCCCTACATGCCAAGGCCACGGCACGGAGACCCTGTCTCTCTGTGCTCCATACGTTGTGTCTCTCTTTGTGTCTCTGTGTTAACTCCCTACACTTAGGTGTCTGTGTATATATATCTGCGGTTCTGTGTTTCCTCTCTCTCTTAAATTTAGCTCTTCTATGCCTGATGATGATTGCTTGCGTTGCAATCGAAACGTCGTACGCTACGATGTAATTTTATTGTTTCTTATTTCTACGTGACTTTACGGAAAAAAACCAAAGAGTTGACGAGATGTTAACTCCCTCGCCTGGTGTGCAGGAGGTTGTGGGTTCCATCCCAACCCTGACGCCTGCTGCTGCTGTATATTTGGAGTTTGCATGTGCTCCCTGTGGTCGCATGGATTTCTCTCCAGGTCCTTCGGGTTTTTCCCCTCCACATTGAGAATTAACGTGCGTTTAGAGTATTTGGCTGCTATACATTTCCACGTGATAAGCCACTTCGTTGAGCTATCATTTGTGGCCAGGTCGCTTCTGAAGAAGAGCCGTATAGCTCAGTGGGCCTTACCTGGTAAAATAAAAATTAATTGTTTAGTTTCTGTATTCAGACACTGGGACAGATTGAAATGGTTAAAGGCAGCAGAGAAGAGTAAGGCGAAAGTCCTGAGCCTGGACACGGCATCTCCATTCTACCATCTCTGTCCTCATTTAAACTGACTCTATTGAGATCACAAACATTGAAGTGTGAGTGTAATTATACAATAGAATTGCTATGATCAAGCTGTTTGTTTTTTAAACCTGTAATCATGGAATTGATGGCTGAGTCGCCATTCAAAAAGAGCTTTTTTATATTCATATTCTTAGTTTTTTTTCGGTAAAGTCACGTTGAAGAGAAACAACAAAATAATAAAATATATATAAAACAATACAAAATTCTCACGACGTTTCGACCATAACTCAAACGGTCATCTTCAGGTGTGTTGGTTTGCATAAATGTATTTTTAAACGGCGCATTTATTTATTTATAAAAAACGTTAGCGTCACGTGCAGCGATTTGGCAGTTTGCCCAGGACTAGTCCATCTATATTTTTAAAAGAGGAGGGGGGAGAAGAAATGTTTTATAATGTATGCTGTCTGAAAGCCACTGTAAGCGTGAACAATCAATTAAGAACTGAAATGGTTTATCAAATCTTTCCAATGATTGCTAAGATAGAATCCATCCTCTCGGTTGAAATTGTCTCTGTGCTTGTATATGTGGATAGCCTCATGAACGAATCTCTCATGGAAGCCAGATGGCTTACTTTTTTTAAAATAAATAAGTAAATGCGCCGTTTAAAAATAAATTTATGCAAACCAACACACCTGAAGATGACCGTTTGAGTTATGGTCGAAACGTCGTGAGAATTTTTTATTGTTTTATATATATTTTATTATTTTGTTGTTTCTCTTCAACGTGACTTTACCGAAAAAACTAAGAATATGAATTACTGCAGTCACGAAAGCTTTAAATCAAAGCTTTTTTTATCTCAATGTCCTTTACTCGGAAAAATAAACTTCTGATTGCACAGAATATGGTGGGGGCGGTGGAGTTAGCCTTTTGCACCGCACGTAGCCAAACGTGCTACAACCGGGAGGCGCGTAGGTGACGCGTGGCGACGGCGTGCGTGGAGGGAGGACGTACTCAGCGTGAGCTTCACGGTGCCGCGCTGACTCGCGCTGCCGCTGCAGTAGTAGAGACTGAAGCGGTGCTCGGTGCGCCAGTGGGAGAGCAGCGAGCGCTTGCCGCAGAACAGGACCCCGAGGCGCCCGTTCACGCTGCACAGCCACACGGGCAGGCGTGGGGTTTTGAGCATGCTGCCGACCTGCGGGGAACACAAAAGGCAAAGAAACCCCGCGTGTCGCCTTTAACAGGCTGTTGGGGCAAGTGCCGCTTGTTTGAGTTTATTATTTTAACAAGGGCCCTGGCGGACGGTGCGAGCTCTGTGACGGTTCTGATCTTCCACGAAGGCTCACGCTCCGCCCTAAACCACATCCGCACAAACCACGGCAGATGCGGATACCTGATGCGCACATTTTGAATTTAAAACCCTCCTGCGTGCCACTGTGGCCATCCAGAGCAGAGCGTGCAACGTATAGCGATTATCTGGCTCGACCGGCCTGAGTGTGAAATTGACGTCGTTGCTCTGCATCGACGTCCGCTGCCGTACGAAAGGAGGAAGGGAAGAGCACAAGCCATGAAGAAGAAGGGAAGAGGGCACAGCAGCCCGAGGCGCGGTGCTCACTGCGGGCTCATTGCCCCAACTCACGTAGCGACAACAGACGGGAGCGTGGATTTTTTTTTTAAGGACAAGGAAAGGCGAAGAAAGAGGATGGGGGTGGGGGGCAAGGGACGAGTGCTGTTAGCGAGCACCTATGAAAGCCGGCACAGGGACACGAGGGGGTGGGTGTCCAGCACCATGCCCGTTCACCACGCTTGCCCACTACTGCCAATGAAATATCACACGAAAAATAAACATTGTGGTCGTTTCGATTTAAAGCTTTCGTGACTGCAGGGATTCATATTCTTTGTTCTTTCGGTAAAGTCACCACGTAGAAGGGAAACAATGAAATAATACAAATAAAACAACAAAAAATTATCACGACGTTTCGACTGCAACACAAGCAATCATCATCAGGTGTGAAAACCACAGCAAGAACATTTGAAAAAAGTGGCGTTTTTTTCTTAACGTTAGCACCACGGACAGCAACTGTTGCTGTGGTTTTTACACCTGATGATGATTGCTTGTGTTGCAATCGAAACGTCGTGAGAATTTTATTGTTTTATTTGTATTATTTCCCTTCTATGTGACTTTACCGAAAGAACCAAGAATATTGTGGTCGTTGTTGAGCTCTCACGTGGTGGCATTAAAGGGACTGGCTGACCAACCGCAGTATTGGCAGTGTTGGGGGTGAAAATGCTCCGACCTGTCGGCTTGTCTCTGGTTCACGGTCTTCCCTGCTCCAGCGCAAGAATCCGATTTCACTGCGGCTCTGGGGACCCTGCCGATGCTGCTGCTCACCATCCCAGCCAAGCCCCGCGTCTCCGTTGACGACAGACGGACTCGCCTGCCCTGTTAGTAGCAGGTTTACCAGGGCCTGCACACGGAGAAAGGTCATTGCGGCCGGACCTTTGCAGACACTCCCCTGGCAAGGAATAACATGTATGACGAACTTCTTTTGCACCACCGTATATAGCCAAACGTGCTCGTCGTGCTGGGTGACGGCGTGGAGAGCCCTTCATCTGCAATTTGATCGACAGCGACCGATGACGACGATGATGACGACGGCGTTAATACATTCGTGATTTATAAACTGTCCGAATGCAACGGCGTTATTATGATATGATGGATAACGGGGGGATATATATATAATAGTATGTTTATATATTTATTTATATTTTGGGCGGTAAATGCAGGCTTGGGTTAAGGTTCGGCTACGCGAAGCCAATTTCTAAAACAAAAACAAAAAACATTTCTGCCATTATTTTTGTTGTTGTTGACCTATGCGAATGATGCCATTGACTGCGTCCCCTTTCTGCGTTGACCCGCAATCCCACGACTAATTCCGAGGGCGGCCAGGGTGAAAAGCAACGCAGCTCCCTTACACCAGCGAGCCCAGAAGGACCAGCGCCTGTGTCGGCACGGCCCGGGGATGTTGCAGTGGGAATCCGCGTCATGTCTAGTTGTGCCAATGTGGCGTCTGGGTTCCTTTTAGAATGCAGCACGGACCCACAGTCGCCTTTGACGACCCTGCTGCTGCATGGTGGTCACCCATCCGAGGGCTATTGTGGCTCTTACGAGACCGGGTGGATTCCCGGTGATTTGATGAGGGGGGCATGGAGGCCTAGCCAGTTGTTTTGTGTGGCCAGCCTTTAAATATTACTTCACTCTGCATAATAGAGATTTTTGTTGGGTTAGATAGTGTGAATATCAATGTGTCGTTAAACCCGCCACCACCCGACACAGCGAATTAGTAAGGTACATCACGTAAACAAAACATGCCAATTAGTTACTAGTTCAGCACACCGGTGTGTTGTATAGAAAGCCTACAACATTTACAATTTGAGTACGACGTTTTGCTGGTAATTACAACCAGCTTTACCAGGCGACAGCGAGAATTTACGCTATTCTAACCCAAAAAAAACCTCTTATGGATAATATTGGTCGCGAAAGCCTACGATGTTAAACTACTTTACTCTGGTTTATCTTCAGAGCAAATACATCTTTCGCCTTTTAAATATTGGTCACAAACCGATAATTATAGCAAAATAACAATGCAATTTATTTGCACAGAAAATCCTCACCGAATCTCTCAAAGGAGAGGGCCGTGTTACATGTTTGGCCAAATCAATGAACGAGCCTTTGCCTTCATGTGCGAGGAAAGTGTAGATCACCGGTGCCGGGACGGACCGATTAGTGGGAAAAGATGATGCGTGTTTCTAATCTCTTTGCGTGTGGTTCCATACTACCTGTGTGCATTCGTAGCTGCCCTGATGCAGCTGCAGGAGATGGGATGCAGTGTGGTCACAGTCGCTCAGTACCCTGGACCGTGTGACACGGGACATAGAATCCACGTTACACAATTACTTCTAACTGTGCGTTGGTATCGGCTTAGCCGTGCACTTTCCTCCAAAGAAATCTCTTTGCTATAGTCGACCCAAACACATCAAAGGCACGGTCCAGCATTTGTTAGGGGCCGTTCATAAATGACGTCACGCACTTAGTGGGGGGGTCAGACATTTGTGACGATGTGATACGAGGGGGGGGGGGGTTTGAGAAATGTGACGTCACATCAAAACGCGCAACTTTTAATAAATATCGACAACACGTTCTACTTAATTAAATAGACTTTTTAATAAATGTCTTCTCCTACAACATCAGAGTGCAGCGCCACATTAAACACGCACTACAATGACAATAGTTTAAAGCGATTTGAAGAATGTTTTATATAATTTTTTTGGGGGGGGGGAGGCAGAGCTTTGTGACGTCATATTTGAGGGGGGGGGGTCTGACTTTTTGTGACGCCGTGTGACGAGGGGGGGGGGGGGCGGGGGAGTCAAAAATCGTCCAAAATCGCGTGACGTCATTTATGGACGGCCCCGCTACTCTATTTACGTGACCGACTTGACTTTGTACGGTAGTTTAAGAGCAATGCGCTGTGAAGAAGGGGCCGCTTCCCGAGACGTTGTTTTTTTGTTTCACGGACGAGGTCGGCTCGTCACGGTGCCTCCCGTGGGACTCACCTTCCCACGCCATGGGACAGCAGGGCGCTGTACAGAAACAGGATCGCACCGTGGCTTCCGAAATCCTGGAACTGCACCAACACCACCACCGCCGCCACCACGGGGAGAGAGACCAGTGATGGATGCGGTTCGGTTGCAAAACGCAAAGAACATTATTTGATATCTATCAATACGCAACAACAACAATAATAATAATAATGATGATTTAGATGTATAAGGTGCCGTTAAACAATGCATATCGGAGCGCCGTGCATGTAACGGAGGAAGGAATGAGTGAGAAGTAACCGGGGAGAGAAAGACTAAGAGACAGACATAGAACGAGAGAGAGAGAGAGAGTGAAATGAGGTCGTGTTAAACAGCTGATGGGGTCTACAGCCGGGTCTTAGAAGCCTCCACTGACTGCGAGTTCCAACCTCCAAGGGCAGAGATCTCCAGAGCCTGGATGCTGTGCAGCCTAAAGCCCCGGTGGTCACCCCAGGTGCGAAGCCTGGAGCGCAGTTGTCAATTTTTTTTTGCGAATGCCTTTACACGTGATTTTCACACAGTTAATAGCACCGGATACACGAGAGAGATGAATGATTAATGATAAACATGTCAACGTCATTGTGAATGGACGTCAGCCCACGCGGCCACAGAGTCACGTGCAGGGCAACAGCGACCAGCCCGCCCGGCACGCCCTGACGGACTTCACGATGTGCACCGTGGTCTCCTGGAGCGCGGTTACAGCTGAGTGGGGCACGATGCGTCGATCTCAAGAGATCTCAGCGGAGGAGCGTGTGGCTGAATCAACCCCGGGATGTACGGTGGAGGAAGTAAAGTAAAATGTAATGTAAAATGTAATGTTAAATCTATAGCCCTTTGGACAATCCACTGCTGGATGAGGGCCTACCCCCACCCAGCATGTCGCCCGTGGTGGTGGACCTTGGCAGCAACGGCTGCAGGTCATTCAAGCGCTGCCCTGCACCAGTTGCGCAGACTGTGCACAGGGGCAGGCTCATGCTCATGCTCATGCTGCTGCTGCTGCCTCCACCGTTGACATTTAAACCACAAGGCTCTATTGGGAGGCACGGCCAATTGTGGGTGTGCATTCTCCATTGCGTCATTTCAATAATAAGTTCAGCCACTGGCAGTGCACTGCCGGATGCAGGCATCGCCACGTTGCGTTGGCCACACTGGGAGCTGCTTGACGGCGACAACCACACTACCCGGCTTCCATCTCATCCACAGAATCAGCGGGCAGCGCTTAACCAGATCGGCACAAACCACGGACACCAATTCGTGAAGCGTGTAACTTCGCGCTGCCCCAAATACAAACCTGAATGTGGCGGGTGGGTTTTGGCGAATCTGCAATTTGACCAACTCTCCAACAAAGCAATGGAATGGCTACATCCCTTCGAGATGATCGGTAACAGTAGTTGCTCTTCATTGGCCATATGAAAGAAGAGCACCACGTTGGCCAGTGTGGGTTTGAACAGGGGGATGTCAAAACCCGTCCAGGCAGGTACCATTGGCCATGGCCAGCGATCGAACTCAGGTGGCAGGGGTTCAGTGCGCAACGTGCTAACCACTGTGCCATCGCCCCCTGAACTATAATTGCATTGACTGTATTATTGCTCAATATCAGCTCTCTAGCCCTTGCAGAACACCATGGGATTTTAGATCAATCACCCCGCCACGACAGTCTAATAAATAGGCACAACAACAATAATAATAATAATACGGGTGTGCAAATGAGCTCAGGAGGGTCAGTGATCAATGTGAACGATGCATGCGAGTCGTACGCAGGACAGATGTCTCTTCAGGAAGCACAGAAGGTCTTCTCGTTCGGCAAATTCAAATATTCGCAGCTGCACAGGGACGGTAACGGCGATGATTAGAACGCGAACGCAGCAAAGCCAAAGCCGTGGCGTCAAAGAAAACCGTGTCCGCGTTTTAGGAATTGCATTTTCCCTCTCAGAAAGGCGGGCGGCGTGTTAATCGAGCGTCGGTCAACGCCCCCATAAGGCGGTGACAGCCCCTTGCAATCCACTGATGGATGAGGGCCTTCCGACGCCGTGCGTGCGTCGTTTTGGGTTCATGTAACCACACTTCGCCACGCTCGCCAGCGTGAGCTGTCAAAGCAAAAACAAATAAACCTAGGCATTGGGAGCATAGGCGTATGGTACAACGATGGTATACGCTGCAACGCTGTCTGCGCACGTAACCCTCCCCGTATTTGTAAAAGACACCGGGCGGCCCAGTGGAGGTCGGCATCGATAGCCACTCCGCTGACGCGGCCTCTCAGGCCGCCCGGCACGGGTTTTCTGAAACCTCGTTTCCGTGAGTTAAACAAAAAACGTTACCCGGACGTTCGCAACGTCGGCTCGCGCGCCCGCCTGTCCGTGCGACCCCGAGACAAGACATCGGTACGCGTGACGTGGGCGAAGGTGCAAGAGCGGCGGCCCCCGGCGCAACTCTCCCCCGGCAGCCGCCGAGCGCCGCGCCTCCGATAGGCGCGGGTCGGCTACGTACGGCGCGAAAGAAGTTCAACGTACGGACCGCATACGTGGCAAGGGCACCGAGGGCAGAGTTGCCGCCTCGAAGAGGTGGGAGGGGTGGCGCTGGTGGCTCCGGAGAGAGGGGGCCCCACTCACCGTCTCGGTGACCTTGTCGGAGCAGTATTCGTCGGGGGTGACGACGTCGCCGCCACCCCCGACAACGTAGTCGTCGGGGGTGGCGAGGCAGACGCACGTGGTGCCGCCCCCAGCGCTCTTGCACAGAGCGTCAGCCAGAGCCTCCGCCAGAGCCCGGCTCTGGTCGCGAGCGGATACCGACGTGAGGCTGCGCAGATTGGGGGGAGTGGGGTGCAGGGATTGGCCATCGTCATCGTCGTCGTCGTCATCATCATCGTCGTCATCATCATCCCCATCACCAACAACCATCATCATCACCACCACCACCACCACCACAAATATCATCATCATCATCATCACCATCATTAATTTCACCTTCATTATCACCACCATGAATATCACCACCATCTTCATCATCACCACCAACACCACCATCAATACCACCTTCACCACGATGAATATCACCACCACGACCATTATCACCACCACCACCACCGTCATCACAGAGGTGGATCTAGAAACTTCCCAAGTGAATGGGGTGTGGGATGGAAATCCCAAAATTTTAAGATTGAAAAAAAAAAAACTGTTAATCTCATTTTCCTGGTAAATGTCAAATACATTTCCAGTGTTCTGGGTCTCAATGGGCGAAGGCATCACACCTCCCCTCCCCCAACCCCCCACCTCTACCTCCTGGGATCCTTGACTGCATTGTTTGTGTGTGTGTGTACGTGCAGTCACTGGTGACCATCCATCTGCCGCACACGACAACCCAGTTTAGTCGCGAGGTCCGAGGTCAGTATGCAGGCGCACGGCGAACGCCGCCGGCGTGGACGCTGGCGGCTCTACCGCTGAACGTCGTCGGCGTCGTGGCCGTGTGCCGTGAACAGCAGGTGCTTGACGATGTACGCCTGCACCACCATCTGTACGCCCCTTGCACCAGCCTGTGCGAACAGAATGGCGGATCGTACACAAGGCTATGGAGGTGTGCTCTCGATCACTGGCTCAACCGTGGGGGGGGGGGGGGGGGGGAAAGAAAAAACCGCACATTGAGCCCAGGAACAAACACTTGGGATGATCCGAGAAAAAACGTTAAATTATGACATGTGAGGAAATCACGTCACTTGTATTCCACCAGCTTAACTACCCGACTTCGCCCGGGGACTTGGATTCATCACGCCCGGCCGCCTTTGTCCCCCCAATGGCGATGTTCACACACCAGTTACGTGTTTGAGGCTGAGGCTGAGTCGACCTAGGGGAGGCCCAGGATCTGTTCAAATAATCGTGACCGGTGGTGGCCGTGAGCGGGAATCGAACTCGGGTCGCCGGGTTCGTAGTGCGGCGTAGCGCTAACCACTACACTACAATGCGTTACGCTTCCACCCAAAAAAACAAAAGTGTATTTTTATAATTTTAGCATGGTGTACAGTCTGGAAAGGACCCACATGGCAAATTTCAAGTTTGTTGCATGTCGGGAAGTACGCTAAACATTTTGAACAGACACACATAATCACAAATTTCCCTTTTATATATATGGAGATGAGATAACTGCTGTCTTTTCCAGCCAAAAGCTGTGTCACGTGGCATCGCGGGCCATGTGAATTGAAGTAAGGGTCCTGTGAATTGTAAAAGTGGTCGCGTGAATTGTAGAAGTGGTCGTGTGAATTGTAGCAGGGGTCGTGTAAATTGTAACAGGGGTCGCGTGAATTGTAACAGGGGTCGCGTGAATTGTTGCAGGGGTCGTGTGAATTGTAGCAGGGGTCGTGTGAATTGTAGCAGGGGTCACGTGAATTGAGACAGGGGTTGTGTGAATTGTAGAAGTGGTCGCGTGAATTGCAGCAGGGGTCGCGTGAATTGTAGCAGGGGTCGCGTGAATTGTAGCAGGGGTCGCGTGAATTGTAACAGGGGTCGCGTGAGTTGTTGCAGGGGTCACGTGAATTGTAACAGGGGTCGCGTGAATTGAGACAGGGGTTGTGTGAATTGTAGAAGTGGTCGCGGGAATTGTAGCAGGGGTCGCGTGAATTGTAGCAGGGGTCGCGTGAATTGTAGCAGGGGTCGTGTGAATTATAACAGGGGCCGTGTCAATTATTGCAGGGGTCGCGTGAATTGTAACAGGGGTCGCGTGAGTTGTTGCAGGGGTCACGTGAATTGTAACAGGGGTCGCGTGAGTTGTTGCAGGGGTCGCGTGAATTGAGACAGGGGTTGTGTGAATTGTAGAAGTGGTCGCGGGAATTGTAGCAGGGGTCGCGTGAATTGTAGCAGGGGTCGCGTGAATTGTAGCAGGGGTCGTGTGAATTATAACAGGGGCCGTGTCAATTATTGCAGGGGTCGCGTGAATTGTAACAGGGGTCGCGTGAGTTGTTGCAGGGGTCACGTGAATTGTAACAGGGGTCGCGTGAGTTGTTGCAGGGGTCGCGTGAATTGTAACAGGGGTCACGTGAATTGTAGAAGTGGTCGTGTGAATTGTAGCAGGGGTCGCGGGAATTGTAGCAGGGGTCGTGTGAATTGTAACAGGGGTCGTGTGAATTGTAGCAGGGGTCGCGTTAATTGTAGCAGGGGTCGTGTGAATTGTAACAGGGGTCACGTGAATTGTAGCAGGGGTCGTGTGAATTGTAACAGGGGTCGTGTGAATTGTAGCAGGGGTCGCGTTAATTGTAGCAGGGGTCGTGTGAATTGTAACAGGGGTCACGTGAATTGTAACAGGGGTCACATGAATTGTAACAGGGGTCACGTGAATTGTAGCAGGGATCACGTGAATTGTAACAGGGGTCGCGTGAATTGTTGCAGGGGTCGCGTGAATTGTAGCAGGGGTCGCGTGAATTGTAGCAGGGGTCGTGTGAATTGTAGCAGGGGTCACGTGAATTGTTGCAGGGGTCGCGTGAATTGTAGCAGGGGTCGCGTGAATTGTAGCAGGGGTCACGTGAATTGTTGCAGGGGTCGCGTGCATTGTAACAGGGGTCGCGTGAATTGTAGCAGGGGTCGCGTGAATTGCAACAGGGGTCGCGTGAATTGTAGCAGGGGTCACGTGAATTGTAGCAGGGGTAGCGTGAATTGCAACAGGGGTCACGTGAATTGTAGCAGGGGTCACGTGAATTGTAGCAGGAGTAGCGTGAATTGTAACAGGGGTCGCGTGAATTGTAGCAGGGGTTGCGTGAATTGTAGCAGGGGTCGTGTGAATTGTAACAGGGGTCGCGTGATTTGTTGCAGGGGTCGTGTGAATTGTAACAGGGGTCGCGTGAATTGTAACAGGGGTCGCGTGAATTGTAGCAGGGGTTGCGTGAATTGTAGCAGGGGTCGTGTGAATTGTAACAGGGGTCGCGTGATTTGTTGCAGGGGTCGTGTGAATTGTTGCAGGGGTCGTGTGAATTGTAACAGGGGTCGCGTGATTTGTTGCAGGGGTCGTGTGAATTGTAGCAGGAGTCGCGTGAATTGTAACAGGGGTCGCGTGAATTGTTGCAGGGGTCGTGTGAATTGTAACAGGGGTCGCGTGAATTGTTGCAGGGGTCGTGTGAATTCTAACAGGGGTCGCGTGAATTGTAACAGGGGTCGTGTGAATTGTAGAAGTGGTCGCGTGAATTGTAGCAGGGGTCGCGTGAATTGTAGCAGGGGTCACGTGAATTGTTGCAGGGGTCGTGTGAATTGTAACAGGGGTCGCGTGAATTGTAGCAGGGGTCGCGTGAATTGTAGCAGGGGTCGTGTGAATTGTAACAGGGGTCGCGTGAGTTGTTGCAGGGGTCACGTGAATTGTAGAAGTGGTCGTGTGAATTGTAGCAGGGGTCGCGGGAATTGTAGCAGGGGTCGCGTGAATTGTAGCAGGGGTCGCGTGAATTGTAGCAGGGGTCGTGTGAATTATAACAGGGGCCGTGTCAATTATTGCAGGGGTCGCGTGAATTGTAGCAGGGGTCACGTGAATTGTAGCAGGGGTCACGTGAATTGTAACAGGGGTCGCGGGAATTGTTGCAGGGGTCGCGTGAATTGTAGCAGGGGTCGCGTGAATTGTTGCAGGGGTCGTGTGAATTCTAACAGGGGTCGCGTGAATTGTAACAGGGGTCGTGTGAATTGTAGAAGTGGTCGCGTGAATTGTAGCAGGGGTCGCGTGAATTGTAGCAGGGGTCACGTGAATTGTTGCAGGGGTCGTGTGAATTGTAACAGGGGTCGCGTGAATTGTAGCAGGGGTCGCGTGAATTGTAGCAGGGGTCGTGTGAATTGTAACAGGGGTCGCGTGAGTTGTTGCAGGGGTCACGTGAATTGTAGAAGTGGTCGTGTGAATTGTAGCAGGGGTCGCGGGAATTGTAGCAGGGGTCGCGTGAATTGTAGCAGGGGTCGCGTGAATTGTAGCAGGGGTCGTGTGAATTATAACAGGGGCCGTGTCAATTATTGCAGGGGTCGCGTGAATTGTAGCAGGGGTCACGTGAATTGTAGCAGGGGTCACGTGAATTGTAACAGGGGTCGCGTGAATTGTTGCAGGGGTCGCGTGAATTGTAGCAGGGGTCGCGTGAATTGTAGCAGGGGTCACGTGAATTGTTGCAGGGGTCGCGTGCATTGTAACAGGGGTCGCGTGAATTGTAGCAGGGGTCGCGTGAATTGCAACAGGGGTCACGTGAATTGTAGCAGGGGTCACGTGAATTGTAGCAGGGGTCGCGTGAATTGCAACAGGGGTCACGTGAATTGTAGCAGGGGTCACGTGAATTGTAGCAGGAGTAGCGTGAATTGTAACAGGGGTCGCGTGAATTGTAGCAGGGGTTGCGTGAATTGTAGCAGGGGTCGTGTGAATTGTAACAGGGGTCGCGTGATTTGTTGCAGGGGTCGTGTGAATTGTAACAGGGGTCGCGTGAATTGTAACAGGGGTCGCGTGAATTGTAGCAGGGGTTGCGTGAATTGTAGCAGGGGTCGTGTGAATTGTAACAGGGGTCGCGTGATTTGTTGCAGGGGTCGTGTGAATTGTTGCAGGGGTCGTGTGAATTGTAACAGGGGTCGCTTGATTTGTTGCAGGGGTCGTGTGAATTGTAGCAGGGGTCGCGTGAATTGTAACAGGGGTCGCGTGAATTGTTGCAGGGGTCGTGTGAATTGTAACAGGGGTCGCGTGAATTGTTGCAGGGGTCGTGTGAATTCTAACAGGGGTCGCGTGAATTGTAACAGGGGTCGTGTGAATTGTAGGAGTGGTCGCGTGAATTGTAGCAGGGGTCGCGTGAATTGTAGCAGGGGTCACGTGAATTGTTGCAGGGGTCGTGTGAATTGTAACAGGGGTCGCGTGAATTGTAGCAGGGGTTGCGTGAATTGTAGCAGGGGTCGTGTGAATTGTAACAGGGGTCGCGTGATTTGTTGCAGGGGTCGTGTGAATTGTTGCAGGGGTCGTGTGAATTGTAACAGGGGTCGCGTGATTTGTTGCAGGGGTCGTGTGAATTGTAGCAGGGGTCGCGTGAATTGTAACAGGGGTCGCGTGAATTGTTGCAGGGGTCGTGTGAATTGTAACAGGGGTCGCGTGAATTGTTGCAGGGGTCGTGTGAATTCTAACAGGGGTCGCGTGAATTGTAACAGGGGTCGTGTGAATTGTAGAAGTGGTCGCGTGAATTGTAGCAGGGGTCGCGTGAATTGTAGCAGGGGTCACGTGAATTGTTGCAGGGGTCGTGTGAATTGTAACAGGGGTCGCGTGAATTGTAGCAGGGGTCACGTGAATTGTAACAGGGGTCGCGTGAATTATAACAGGGGTCGCGTGAATTGTAACAGGGGTCGTGTGAATTGTAGCAGGGGTCGTGTGAATTGTAACAGGGGTCGCGTGAATTGTAGCAGGGGTCGCGTGAATTGTAGCAGGGGTCGCGTGAATTGTAACAGGGGTCATGTGAATTATAACAGGGGTCGCGTGAATTGTAACAGGGGTCGCGTGAATTGTTGCAGGGGTCGTGTGAATTCTAACAGGGGTCGCGAGAATTGTAGCAGGGGTCGCGTGAATTGTAGCGGGGGTCACGTGAATTGTAGCAGGGGTCGCGTTAATTGTAACAGGGGTCACGTGAATTGTAACAGGGGTCGCGTGAATTGTAACAGGGGTCGCGTGAATTGTAGCAGGGGTCGCGTGAATTGTAGCGGGGGTTGCGTGAATTGAACTGTGGTTCGATTTTGCAGGACGTAGGTTCCGCAACCGTGGCTTGTCGTGTTGCTCGTGACTGCTGTCCCTGCCCGTGATCAGTGGGTGTTCTACTTACCCTGCCCGTGATCACTGGGTGTTCTACTTACCCTGCCCGTGATCAGTGGGTGTTCTACTTACCCTGCCCGTGATCAGTGGGTGTTCTACTTACCCTGTCCGAGATCAGTGGGTGTTCTACTTAACCTGTCCGTGATCAGTGGGTGTTCTACTTACCCTGCCCGTGATCAGTGGGTGTTCTACTTACCCTGTCCGTGATCAGTGGGTGTTCTACTTACCCTGTCCGTGATCAGTGGGTGTTCTACTTAACCTGTCCGTGATCAGTGGGTGTTCTACTTACCCTGTCCGTGATCAGTGGGTGTTCTACTTACCCTGCCCGTGATCAGTGGGTGTTCTACTTACCCTGCCCGTGATCAGTGGGTGTTCTACTTACCCTGCCCGTGATCAGTGGGTGTTCTACTTACCCTGTCCGTGATCAGTTGGTGTTCTACTTACCCTGCTCGTGATCAGTGGGTGTTCTACTTACCCTGCTCGTGATCAGTGGGTGTTCTACTTACCCTGCTCGTGATCAGTTGGTGTTCTACTTACCCTGCTCATGATCAGTTGGTGTTCTACTTACCCTGCTCGTGATCAGTGGGTGTTCTACTTACCCTGTCCGTGATCAGTGCGTATCCAAGTGGCGACCTTGGTTCTCGGAACAGGAACCGTGATTTCTTCCACGCCAATGGGAATGCGATGGCAGGGGACCCAAACAGCACTTTCTTTAGCTCCTGGGAAGAACAGAATATTTGAGTTCTTGCTTTACATTCAATATTAACTGAAAATTCAGGGTAGTATGTGTCATCCAATTTTGCACCGTAATGTACGTTGAACTTCGTTCGCACCGTACGTAGCCAACCGTGCTAATCGGAGCTGCAGGGGAAGGACAACAAACTAAACACAAAAAGCAGTTCTAAAGAAGAGTTTTCAATTTAGATTTTGAAAGTGCACCGTAGCTTCCAGTGGCTTCCTAATATCAGAAGGAAGAGCGTTCCAGACGGCCGCGGAAGCGCATCTGAAAGCGCACGATGAGGTGACCATCATCTTTGTTCGATGGCTGGCAGCCAAAAGCCGCCGCTGCTGCGAGGATGACCGGAGTTGACGTGGTGGTGGTGGTGGTAGTGGTGGTAGTGGTGGTGGTTTATGCTCTATGGCGAGATCAGCGATGTGTCGCTGTGCCCTAAATGCTCTCTAAGATGACCTCTGGGTTTCCAAACGCTCAACAGAGAAAATGGACAAACCGAGTCGGCGACTCGGTAAGGTTTTTCTGGATAAATAAATCAAGGGCATCGTCATTATTCTTATTGTTCTTGCGTGAAACAATGTCAGCATATGCTCCCTCTCAGAAGGCCGCAAGGCTGATGGGATGTGTACAAAAGACTTTGTTTAATGTGGTGAGACGTTTATATATTTTGATTATTTATATTCTCCTCGACACATTTGATTACGTAATGATTATATTACAGGCGCACTCTGGTCAACGAGGGTCCAATTTACGAGGATGCGCATTTACGACAGTTACCTAGCACCACCATGGATTGATTTATGACGCAGAAGCGACCGCATCTACCGACATGAATCTGAACACATTTGAACAAAGAGAGCATCCCTGCCTGTTACAAACAAGTCGTCGAGTCAAACAAGCCTGACTCTGCTTGTGAAATACGCAACCGGCGCGCAGTTCGCTTGCGTTGAACCAATGTTGCCGAAATGTCGGCACTCCTGGAAAGCTACAAGGCTGATGGCATATGCGATCTGTTTTATGTGGAGGGACAGATAGATGGAGACACATCGTCCGCTTCTCCAGCGAGCATCACGGGCGGGTTACGCGTTTGTCGCGTGCGTCCCCAAGGACTCTGCGTGACTTCTTGCTCCGAGTGCCCCGAAGGGCGACCTCACCGAGGCTGTCTGCAAGCCGATGGCCTCCCCTCCCAGTGCGGCGGACTGCAGATTGCGGCTGGAAACGCACGAGGCCTCGAGGAAGCAGCGCGCGTCCAGCACGGGAGGTGAAGCAGAGGCCCCCTGCTCCTGCTCCGCTCCAGCCTCAGGCTCTTCGCTCTAACCAGAGAAGCACGCACAGTGACGGATCTCTTGTCCCTGATCGACCCAAACACCCCCCCCCCACTACCACCACCACCATCACCACCCAGGCGAGCGTGAAACATGAGTCGGCGCCAGTTTTTACGCAATTCTCCGCGTCTTTTTTAAACTTTATACCAAAGTTAACATCATGATTGCGTGGGGACTGACGGTCTTGGATCTCCATCTCTTCTCATCCTTGGCTACTTGCAGCATTCTGCGCGTTGCCTTGATAGTGTGACCCAAAGCACCTCAGTAGCAACATCATCATCCTCATCATCAACCGTGATCAATCCACTGCTCCGTGAAGGCCTCTCCCCCCTAGCCAGCACCTTCAATCGCAGACATGCGATGCAAGATCACATGTCCCCCAAAACGTTCCGGCATTTATCACGTGACTCCTGTGCCTGATGACGACCGCTTGTGTTGCGATCGAAACGTCATGATTTGTTTTATTTGAGTTTATTTCTAACTACGTGTGACTTCACCGAAAGAACCAGAGGGTATGACTTTTATAATTTGACAACTTTGTCACATTATAAGATAGATATCCTGTTAGCAAATTACAAACACGTGAATGAACTGCACTTCGTCGTCATTGTCGATGGTGAATTTTGTCTTTAGCTTTCTCTGATGTAACGTTAGATGTGTTGGCCGCGTTATTTACATGTGCACTGTATCGTTTTGTGTCCCAGGAGTTTGTCGAAAAATAAAACGTTTGGACCGAACGGGCTCTGACGTATTTTAAATAAACATTGACATAATGTGCAAGCTCTTTGGCCTCTCTCTCCACGCGTTGTGAGCAAGGTCCATTACCTCAAACTCAACTTTTTTTTATTTATGGCGGCGTTAAATATGTAACCTGGTGTAACGTTATCATCTCGTATTGGTTGGCCACCTGTGGGCTGCGCAGATTGTGCTGGAAGATGACTTGAGCAAAGTAAATATTGATTCTCCATAGTGAAACACTGATGAAATGTTTGGTTCGCGTAGATCAAATGTTTGTTTTGATCAGCTAGCGAGAGAAACCTCTGGCTACGCTTGAACGGGGTTGTTGTTTCCCCTCAACGTGACTTTACCGAAAGAGCTAAGAATATGAATTACTGCAGTCACGAAAGCTTTAAATCAAAATTTCAGTCTATTTGAATGATTACATCGCCTGCGTTGCTCGTTGTTGTCTGTTTAACTTCAGGTATTTGGTGTGTCTTACTGGTTGATGTGTCTAACTGGTTGATCTGTGTGTGTGTTACTGTTTGCAAATGAGTTTCTCCATCTCCATGTGCGAATAAATCTGTTACCTACATAGCTGGAAACCGTTTCTGCAGTGGGTGAAGACTTGGCTTCTCACATTGCGGGATACATCTTCAGCTCAATGCAACGGCTATTTGGACATTGATATATATATGTATATGTGTGTGTAACGTCTTTCGCACCGTACGTAGCCAGCCTTGCAAATCAGAGGTGCGGGGTTGGGGACGAGAACAAACTAAACACAAAACGCAGTTCTAAAAAAAAGTGTCCCGTGTAACACAGTACGCAATACATGAGAGTGTTATGGGCAGTGTTAAAAAAAAACAATTGCCTGCTTCAACGTCTAACAGCCATTTTCTGCATTCACCTCTGTCCCAACTGCTTCGTCTTCTGCGAGATCCTCCTTGGGGCTTGGTCTGTAAGACAAATAGTGCGCATCTCACACGGGACAATGTGAGTCGGTCATCTTTCATGGACACTACCAGTCTCTCGAGTCGACCACTACAGGAGCGGCCTGGTGATTATCTCTGAATTTGTACATTGCCTATGTGGTTTTTTTATCACTCGCACCTTCGATCAGCACGGTCGGCTACGTACGGTGCGAAATAAGTTCAACATACATACTGTGCAAACTTGATTTGGAGCTTTCGTGACTGCAGGAATCCACACTCCTTGGTTCTTTCGGTAAAGTCACGGAGGTAAAAATAAATAAAATAAATCACGACGTTTCGGGCGCAACACAAGCGTCCATCATCAGGTGGGAAAGCACGCTTGTGTTGCGCCCGAAACGTCGTGATTGATTTTATTTTCTACCTACGTGACCTTACCGAAAGAACCAAAGAGCATACTGTGCAAACATTTAAAACTAATGGATTGTACTCCATGCACACTGAGTGTTGTACCTTCGTGCACACGTGTTATTTACAGTATATGAAACGCGCTCCGAGGTGCCTTTGATGGTCGTGATGTGCCTCATTACAAATGTCGAAAATAAAGACGGATGCATTCATCCAACAGTGGATAGATGGTGACCGACGAACACGGCTCAAAGCGTAAGAGTGAATTGGAACGGCGGTGGTGCTCGTTCGCGATGCGCTTACCCCTGCGCTTGGAAGATTCCCTTCCATTTGCCGAGCTCCATGATCTGCGCCAAGATCTTCCGCCTCTCGTCTTCCCTCTCGTCTTCGCTTGACATTTCCGACTTTGACGGCTGCCTCCAGCCCCAGGCGACTCAACCAGCTAACGCCGGGGATTCTACAACAACGTGGTCTTTAAAATTGGATCGAAAAAAAATGTTTTCGTTGTTTTTGTTTCTGCAACACGTTATTATGTTTACCGTTTGAATGTCGAAAACGAAGAAGTAAATGAATATAAATTGTCATCCTCGGGCATGATCTATCTACTGCTGGACGAAAGCCTCCCCAAGTCGTTTCCATCCCTCACAGTCATCAATATCAATTACGACTGGCCTCTCCAGACTATAAAGAGGCACTTCAGTGGTGTAAATTGTCATCCAAGCACTCGCAAAGCAAGGCCGAAAGAAAACTAAAATTCGGAAATTATAGTCCACACATACAGTGAGGGAAAAAAGTATTTGATCTCCTGCTGATTTTGTACGTTTGCCCACTGACAAAGAAATGATCAGTCTATACTTTTAATGGTAGGTTTATTTGAAAAGTGAGAGAATAACAACAAAATCCAGAAATACACATGTCAAAAATGTTATCAATTGATTTGCATTTTAATGAGGGAAATAAGTATTTGACCCCCTCTCAATCAGAAAGATTTCTGGCTCCCAGGTGTCTTTTATACAGGTAACGAGATGAGATTAGAAGCACACTCTTAAAGGGAGTGCTCCTAAGAAGCAATCAATCAGATTCCAAACTCTCCACCATGGCCAAGACCAAAGAGTCAGAGACAAGATTGTAGACCTACACAAGGCTGGAATGGGCTACAAGACCATTGCCAAGCAGCTTGGTGAGAAGGTGACAATAGTTGGTGCGATTATTCGGAAATGGAAAAAAACACAAAAGAACTGTCAATCTCCCTCGGTCTGGGGCTCAATGCAAGATATCACCTCGTGGAGTTGCAATGGTCATGAGAACGGTGAGGAATCAGCCCAGAACTACACTGGAGGATCTTGTCAATGATCTCAAGGCAGCTGGGACCATAGTTAACAAGAAAACAATTGGTAACATACTATGCCGTGAAGGACTGAAATCCTGCAGCGCCTGCAAGGTCCCCCTGCTCAAGAAAGCACATATACATGCCCGTCTGAAGTTTGCCAATGAACATCTGAATGAATCTGGGTGAAAGTGTTGTGGTCAGATGAGACCAAAATGGAGCTCTTTGGCATCAACTCAACTCGAAGTGTTTGGAGGAGGAGGAATGCTGCCTATGACCCCAAGAACACCATCCCCACCGTCAAACATGGAGGTGGAAACATTATGCTTTGGGGGTGTTTTCTGCTAAGGGGACAGGACAACTTCACCGCATCAAAGGGACGATGGACGGGGCCATGTATCGTCAAATCTTGGGTGAGAACCTCCTTCCCTCAGCCAGGGCATTGAAAATGGGTCGTGGATGGGTATTCCAGCATGACAATGACCCAAAACACACGGCCAAGGCAACAAAGGAGTGGCTCAAGAAGAAGAACATTAAGGTCCTGGAGTGGCCTAGCCAGTCTCCAGACCTTAATCCCATTGAAAATCTGTGGAGGGAGCCGAAGGTTCGAGTTGCTAAACGCCAGCCTCGAAGCCTTAATGACTTGGAGAAGATCTGCAAAGAGGAGTGGGACAAAATCCCTCCTGAGATGTGTGCAAACCTGGTGGCCAACTACAAGAAACGTCTGACCTCTGTGATTGCCAACAAGGGTTTTGCCACCAAGTACTAAGTCATGTTTTGCAGAGGGGTAAAATACTTATTTCCCTCATTAAAATGCTAATCAATTTATAACATTTTTGACATGCGTTTTTCTGGATTTGTTGTTGTTATTCTGTCTCTCACTGTTCAAATAAACCTACCATTAAAATTATAGACTGATCATTTCTTTGTCAGTGGGCAAACGTACAAAATCAGCAGGGGATCAAATACTTTTTTCCCTCACTGTACGTATTATATAAACAAGGGAGTTGAGCGGTGGCCGTGATTAGCACACCGCGCTATAATCCTAGCGAGCTGAGTTCGATCCCTGGTTCTGGATTATGATATCTGAATCGGTCCTCAGTTCGCAACCCCCGCCCACGAGCCAGGGTGGTGAAGTATGGTAAAAAAAAACCTGCAGTCGATACGGCGTGGGGGTGGCCTTCATCCACCAAGTTGGATTGACAGACGAAATGAAAATGGTGATCACATACAATTATCATCATCATTATTATTTGAGTTGAGATCTGACAACCGCACGAATTACTAAGACGTCTTATTTTCGCTGGCTGAACGGTGTTTATACTACGGACATTCTCTCTGTGCCATGTCAGGCTCACCTCGTCTTACCTCCTTTGTGTCGCCGTGTGAGCTTCCGTGTGGCTGTTCAAGCGCCGCGCGCGTCTCTTTATAAACACGGCCCGGCCTGTGTTTAGACAAACTGCGGTTGTGTGTGGTGGTAAGTGAGAGGTGGGAGCTGCCACGTGCGTCGCTTGTTGATGGGTTACCTGGGCAACTTCGGATCCCGTGACTCGGCCGTCGAACTGATTTTAGGGCCCCTTTAATAGATGCCTCGCTGCTGCAATTCGCTTATCATTGAAACATGTTACTGCCCGATGCCGCCCATGAAAACAAACATTTCTGAGAACGGGGAGGCACATCAAACGAGTGCCATATATATCGCCAATAGCTATACCAAAATCAATAGAGATCCTACCAACCGCCTGGTTAGGGGCCGTCCATAAATGACGTCACGCGATTTTGAACGATTTTTGACCCCCCCCTCCCCTCTTCGTCACACGGCGTCACAAAAAGTCAGACCCCCCCCCCTCAAATATGACGTCACAACGCTCTGCCCCCCCCCCCCCCCCAAAAAAACTATATTTCCATTTTGAAAATAAAACATGCTTCAAATCGCTTTAAACTATTGTTATTGTAGTGCGTATTTAATGTGGCGCTGCACTCTGATGTCGTAGGAGAAATAATTTATTAAAAAGTCTATTTAATTAAGTAGAACGTGTTGTCTATATTTATTTAAAGTTGCGCATTTTGATGTGACGTCACATTTCTCAACCCCCCTCCTCGTCACACATCGTCACAAAAGTCTGACCCCCCCCCCCCCCCCAGGTGCGTGACGTCATTCATGGACGGCCCCTTAGGAAAACCAACAATGTCATCACTAACTCGACTTCCCTCATCGAACCAACCATGCTGCTCTCTATAAAACCTTCTGCTGCTAGACCATCCAGATGTTATGGCCTTCCAAAAAGAAGGTACACCGCTCCATCCCATTGTCTCCACCATTAACTCACCCACCTACAAACTGGCACGATTTCTGAGACCTTGTTTCCATTCACGGGCAAGTCCACCTCAGCTGGACTTAACTCGGCTCACTTGGTTTCTCTAATCAAAGACATCTCACTGTCTTCAGATGATTTGCCTGTCAGTTTCGATGTATCTTCTTTGGTTCTTTCGGTAAAGTCACGTAGAATGAGAATAAAATAATAAATTGATAAAATAAAATAACACAATAATATTCTCACGACGTTTCGGCCACAACACAAGCGGCCTTCATCAGGTGAAGGGACGAGACTGTCTGGTAGGACAGCGCTGGAGTGAAAGAGCCACGTTCAGATCACGACCTTTAAGCTGTGTGAGAGGAAACAAAGCGCCTTGACAAAGGAATTAGCATATAATTTAGCATTGAAATGGCTGAGTGATTAGCTTGTGACTGGTCACAGAAACTGCTATGTTAAAAGTTAAAGCATACACATCCGCAGAGGCACCCCTTGACAAAGGAATTAGCATAGAATTTAGCATTGAAATAGCTAAGTTAAAGCATACACATCCGCAGAGGCACCCCTTGACAAAGGAATTAGCATAGAATTTAGCATTGAAATAGCTAAGTGATTAGCTTGTAACTGGTCACAGAAATAGCTACGTTAAAGTCAGAGCATACACATTCACCGAGGCACTTAGTACAAATCAAACAGGAGAATTTAGCATTGAAATAACTAGGCGAATTTAGCATTGAAATAACTGAGTGATTAGCTAGTGACTGGTCACAGAAATGACTATGTTGAAGTCAAGGCCTACACATCTGAGCTATTCACAGTACTATATAGTGAACCAATAAAAAACTAAAATATAAATTACCTTAATGTTATCAATAAACTCTATATTCTCCAATCAGCTAAGCTACCAACAATAAGTCGTTATATATCACCGGTCCGATTCAACACAGTACATAAAATCCGTGATTTAGTTCCATCTGTAAAAGATGCTGTTCCAGACATACAGTACCCGGGCGTTTACAAACTAAAGTGCCTCTGTGGTAGTAGCTACATTGGAGAAACCAAACGACATATCTCGGACCGCATCCGCGAACATAAAGCAGACTTGAAACACGGTAGGACGAACTCCTCTGCCGTGGCAGATCACTGTTATAATTCAGTGGGCTCACATGACATTGACTTCTCCAAGACGGAGGTTCTTTGCAAACCAACCGGCTACCATGAGAGATTCGTTCATGAGGCCATTCACATATACAAGCACAGAGACAATTTCAACCGAGAAGATGGATTCTGGCTTAGTAACCACTGGAAAGATGTTTTAAATCTTCTTTGGTTCTTTCGGTAAAGTCACGTAGAATGAGAATAAAATAATAAATTGATAAAATAAAATAACACAATAATATTCTCACGACGTTTCGGCCACAACACAAGCGGCCTTCATCAGGTGAAGGGAGCGAGACTGTCTGGTAGGACAGCGCTGTCCTACCACAGCGCTGTCCTACCAGACAGTCTCGCTCCCTTCACCTGATGAAGGCCGCTTGTGTTGTGGCCGAAACGTCGTGAGAATATTATTGTGTTATTTTATTTTATCAATTTATTATTTTATTCTCATTCTACGTGACTTTACCGAAAGAACCAAAGAAGATGAATCATTGCAGTCACGAAAGCTTTAAATCGAAATGTTTTAAATCATTTCTTTTCTTAATTAATTGTATTTTTATGGTGACCTTCAGACCGCAGCTCCTTTGCCAGCATTGACTCTTAATACCTTTCACACCACGGTTAATGGTATGGTTTTACAACATGGAGTATAATAGCGCCTCGCAGCCGTCTCTCTCCCCCTCCTCTGTTCCGACCATGGACGAACTCGTCCGTCTGAACGGGGCCCGTAGCTATCCGTGTTGCTAAAGTTGAGGGTAAGAATCCACCCATTTTTTCGCCATATAGCATTGTGATATATAACGACTTATTGTTGGTAGCTTAGCTGATTGGAGAATATAGAGTTTATTGATAACATTAAGGTAATTTATATTTTAGTTCTTTATTGGTTCACTATATAGTACTGTGAATAGCTCAGATGTGTAGGCCTTGACTTCAACATAGTCATTTCTGTGACCAGTCAATAGCTAATCACTCAGTTATTTCAATGCTAAATTCGCCTAGTTATTTCAATGCTAAATTCTCCTGTTTGATTTGTACTAAGTGCCTCGGTGAATGTGTATGCTCTGACTTTAACGTAGCTATTTCTGTGACCAGTTACAAGCTAATCACTCAGCTATTTCAATGCTAAATTCTATGCTAATTCCTTTGTCAAGGGGTGCCTCTGCGGATGTGTATGCTTTAACTTAGCTATTTCAATGCTAAATTCTATGCTAATTCCTTTTCAAGGGGTGCCTCTGCGGATGTGTATGCTTTAACTTTTAACATAGCTATTTCTGTGACGAGTCACAAGCTAATCACTCAGCCATTTCAATGCTAAATTATATGCTAATTCCTTTGTCAAGGCGCTTTGTTTCCTCTCACACAGCTTAAAGGTCGTGATCTGAACATGGCTCTTTCACTCCAGCGCTGTCCTACCAGACAGTCTCGTCCCTTTACCTGATGAAGGCCGCTTGTGTTGTGGCCGAAACGTCGTGAGAATATTATTGTGTTATCTTATTTTATCAATTTATTATTGTATTCTCATTCTACGTGACTTTACCGAAAGAACCAAAGAAGATGAATCATTGCAGTCACAAAAGCTTTAAATCGAAGTTTCGATGTAGTCTCTCTGTTCACCAAGGTACCTGTGCCTGACACCATTGCAATCATTGAAGACTTGGCCCAACAGGGACTGAATTCTGATGTGCCAACTTTGGTGAGGCACTGCCTTACCAACACATACTTCACCTGGATTGGTACATTCTACAAACAAGAGGAAGGTACCCCAATGGGTTCTCCCTTATCGCCAGTGGTAGCGAATGTTTTCATGGATAAATTTGAGACAGATGCCATCCAGACATCCACCCTAAGTCCTTCCTTGTGGAAGAGGTACGTAAATGACACGTTCGTCATCTGGCCACATGGCCAGCCAGCACTAAACCAATTCTTCCACCACATAAATTCCATGCACCCAGCCATCAAATCCGCCATGGAAGTGGAAAAGGATGGCAAGTTACCATTCCTAGGTGTTTTGATCGAGAAGAGACCTGATGGCTCGTTGAGACATACTGTCTACAGGAAAGCCACCTACACGGATGCCTATCCTAAAGCCTGACTGCCACTACCACCCAGCCCAGAAGATTTCCTCATCAAAACACTACACAATAGGGCCCATTGCATCTCCGACCAGCACCACCTAGCCAGTGAGTTGCAGCACGTACACCAAGCCTTCAGGATGAATGGATATTCTGACCGTACAATCCACAAAGTGATGGTTTTGATTGGATCCTCAGATGGTTGTCTCCCCAGCCATGGGGAGACGACCATCTGAGGATCCAATCAAAACCATCACTTTGCCATTTTTTTGGGTTACCAAAAATATTTCCAAAATATTAAACAAACACAAGATCCAGGTTCGTTTCAACACGGTACACAAAATCCGTGATTTGATCCTATCTGTAAAGGATGTGATTCCTGACATGCAATACCCTGGTGTCTACAAACTAAGTTGTGGCTGCGGCAGCAGTTACATTGGGGAAACGAAACGACATGTCTCGGACCGCGTTCGCGAACACAAGGCAGATCTGAAACACGGTAGAACCAATACCTCTGCCGTTGCAGATCATTATTTTAACGCGGTGGGCTCACACGAAATTGATTTTCCAAGACGAAGGTACTCTGCAAACCCACCGGCTATAATCAGAGATTTGTTCATGAAGACATCCAGATATATAAACACAGACACAACTTCAACCGAGAGGATGGGTACAAACTGAGCAATCATTGTTATTCATTGTGTAATTGGGCCAAGATGCGCCGTTCCCATGCGAAAAGCCCGCAATACCAGCCTAATGCCAATAGGGGGCAACAGAAGGGCTGAGCCACAGTACTGACAGTCGATGGGCCATAGGGTCCAACGGTTACCCTATGGAACAGGATGTAAAAGGGGCAGACCCCAGGAGGGGGGCTGGGGGATGACATCATCCCCGGATCCTTCTCGAAGGTTCGAGAAGGAAGGCGTGGCCGGGGCGGAGCGAGCCACGGCTCTGTATAAAAGCCGGACCTCTGGACGGTCCCGGCAGTCGTCGTCCAGCTGAAGACATAGAAGCCCCAAGCGCAGAGCCGTACCCCTGGCAAGGGTCGGCTCCAGCTTATATACCAGTGAAGATTCAAGCTTCACTCACGGAGGACTCGTAGATTAGCCAGTGAGAGGCGTAGTAGTCTGGAGAGTAACCTCCATGGTGTATCGGGTGTGACGGGCCGTTACCTCTCTGTGTTAAGTGCTAATTGTTAAATAAAAAAAAAAACTGTGTTGCCTAAG